AGCATTGTGGCTGATCTGGTACAAAGCTTTGTGGCACCCACGTCCACCATCCATTAGAGTTTCTAGTTACGCTTTCACCAACACTGGATATTGTTTCTTTACAAAAATAAAAAATGAACAATCGGCTAAGGAGATGTTCTCAAGCTGCTGAGTAGAGCAAGGCCAGCCTGTCTTCTGTGGATATTGCTGTGGACACTGGCTACTGGACATGTTCCTGAGGGAATTTCCAAACTGGCCCTTTGCCCACGAATTTTAAAAACTTTTATTGTGAATTGAGTGGAGGTTTACAGAACAGATCAGTTTTATACTCAACAACTCATACCCTTGGCTTCATCTCGGTGACTGCAGTCCCCTAAATGTAATGTCACTTGTCCCATCTCCTCCCTGTTTCTTGTTCCCATTCCTCCTCCTATCCCTGCCCTTCTGAATTTTGTCCTTAGGTAAATACTGCCCTTTACTGATCTTGAACAGTTGACCAGTCTGTGGTGTGTGTGCCTCACTGAGCATTGTCCCCACTATAGATCTATCTATTGTTGTTGTTGTTGTTAAGTGTCGCTGAGTCGGTTCCGACCCATAGCGACCCTGTATAAGGTTTCTGAGGAGCAGTTGGTGAGCTTGCACTGCCGACCTTGCAGTTCAAACGGCTTTGCAGTCTGACACATTAACCCACAGCGCCACACCAGGGCTCAAAATTGAGCCATCGGGGCAAATTTGGTTCCATTGACACATTCTGACACTCTTTTGAATAGCTCCATGCCAGGATTCTGTGAACTGTTGGGTTCCTTTTGGCTTTATGAAGAGTTTGGGCTGGTTGAAAAACATGAGGAATGAAGAATAGGAAAACAGAGATGGCTAAGGAGCTCTGGTAGCGTAGTGGTTACAAATCAGGCTGCGAAGCTTAGGGTCAGCAGTTCAAAACTACCAGCTACTCCACAGGAGAAAGATGAGGCTTTCTGCTCCCATAAAGATTTATAGCCTCAGAAACCCTGTACAGGGTACCTATACATAATATCCACCACCAAGGAGCTCTGGTAGCATAGTGGTTATGAGTTGGGCTGCTAATCTCATGGTCAGCAGTTTGAAACTACCAGCAGTTCCGCAGGAGAAAGATGAGGCTTTCTGCTCCTGTAAAGATTTACAGCCTCATGGTTGTAAATATATACAGGGTCTCTATGAGTTGGAACCGACTCCATGGCACATAACCACCACCACTAAGTACTTGAAAGATACCCCACTGAAGGTGATGGGGCAATGCAAATTAAACAATCATGAGATGCTATTGTTTGCATATCATACTGGCAAATTTTTAAAAGAACACGCAAGCCCAATATGGCACTATGAATGAAGGTGCAAAATACATACAAAATGGGTCTTCAGGGAGACCAATCATGGGAAGTTAATAAACTTCTAAATTAATTTTCCCTTTGGCCGAGTGATAGCTTCTTCTAAGAATCTCTGCTAAGTTATTGACTGCTAAGGAAAAGAAGAACAATGTTCATTACACCCTTAATTGAAGCTGAGAAAAGCTGGAAATTGCCCAACATTCCCTCAAGAGAGTCAACATCCCTTCCATCAACATTCCATCAAGAAAAGATGGTTAAGATGCTCTGATGGAGCCGCACAGTGGCAGCATTGATTACCATTAAAAAATCATGAGGTGCACCTGTTGTCCTTACAGAGCGGGATGGCCGGACTACGGTGACAAAGAGCTGCATTCTTTCCTCTTTTGGAGATATTTTAAGGAAATTTAAGTCAATAAATATATATCCGTTCCCTCACTCTTTTTTTATGATGGTAACACATTAATAATAAACCCTGTTATTGAAAACACTGAAGACATAGAGGACAAAAATTGACAACATATCTTGACAATTTTTCAGTGTTACTACACAAAAAGACTCTTGCACTTCTTCTGTGGGTAAGGCCTTGGGATGATAATCAGAAGGTTGGCGGTTCAAACCCACCAGCCACTCTGAGGAAGAAAAAGGAGGCTGTCTGCCCCCAGCACAGTTTTGGAAACCTATACAGGGTCACTGTGTGTCTGAATCAAAGCTGATGGCAGCGGGTTTGCTTTGATTTTGTTAATATTTCATATGTACACGCATCTTACTCATTTAACCAATCACCTACTGATGGCACTTTGGGACCGTCTTTTGGAATCATTCATGAATGACCTCACTGTTGTTGTTGTTTAGTGCGTTGTTTCTGACTCATGGCAACCCTGTATAGGGGTTCTGAGGAGCGGCTGGTGAGCTTGAACTTCTGACCTTGGAGTTCGAACTGACTTTGCAGTCCAGTGCAGTAACCTGCAGCGCCGCACTAGGACTTCAAGCAGCATATGTTGTTGTTGTTGAGTGCCATTGAGTCGGTTTCGACCCATAGCGACCCTGTGTAAGGTTTCCAAGGAGCAGCTGGTGAGTTTGAACCGCCAACCTTGCAGTTTAAACGGCTTTGCAGTGTGGCGCATTAACCCACAGCGCCACACATAGGGCTCTCAGAACTATTTGGTCTGGCCCTGCCAAGGCAACCTCGGTTCTAGCCATCACACTGTTGTTGTTAAATGCCTTCGAGTCAGTTCCAACTCACAGTGACCCTGTATAGGGTTTCCAAGGAGCCACCACATTAGGGGTGAGTTAATTGAATATTTGACCAAACATAGTAGGCTAATATTTTAACTTGGTAATTTTGTGTGGCCTACTCTGGTAGCATAGTGGTTACGAATCGGGCTGTGAACTGCAAGGTCAGCAGTTCGAAACTAACAGCCGCTCCGCAGGAGAAAGATGAGGGTTTCTGCTCCCGTAAAGATTTACAGCCTCAGAAACCCTGTATAGGGTCGCTATGGGTCGGAACCGACTCGATGGCACTTAACAACAACAAAGCAACTAAGTTATGCCTTCACACAGCGTCTTGCCTGGTGTCTGCAACAAGCAAGCTTCTGCAGTATTGACCCAGCAGGTGTGGCTTGGTCACTTGTTAGAGCCCTAGGATGGGAACATGGGAAGGAGGTTGGTGACCAGGAGAGAGGGTCTGAGAAGCTGAGTTTCATCAGGGGACTGGTCCATGATGAGAAGAGATGAGCACCAGGCTCAGGACATTTCAGTGGGAACACAGGGACTTTGGCGCCCCTTCAGACTCTGATGGGCCTTTCTGAGCAGGGAAGGTCTTGCTGAGAAAGAGGTGCCTACACTTAAGCATTGGAGAGGGTGAAGATGGGAGACCAGTGGCCCCCAGCAGGAAGAATAACAAAGGTTTCCTCCTGACTCAGTGCTGCCCCTCTGTTGCCTGAAAAACTTTCTGTGGGGCTTTTGGAACAAAGTTCTAGCTCCTTCCCTCCTCTAGCGGGGTCCACGTCATGAGCCTCCTATTTCAAGAGGAATTGGAATGGCCTCTCCCCCAGATATCTGATCCCCAGGGCTGCTTATTACCAATCATAAGGGATAGGGACTTGGGCAGACACACGGGCAGAACGTGTAAGCTACAAACAAGAAAGAAACATTTGTACAGAACGTCTGCCTGGAGCCTCGTGGCTCTTTTAAAGCACTAGCTATGTGGGATCAGATTGCTTCCGCCTGCTCAAAGAACAGTTGAGAAGTGCCGGGAAATGAGTTTCTGTTGTGTTGTTAGCTGCCCTGGAGTCACTTCCGACTCACAGGGACTTTATGTACAACAGAACAGAGCTCTGCGGGGGTCCTGCTCGAGCGTCCCAATTCTTGCTATTTGTGTCTAATATGGCAACCACTGGGTCACTCCACCATGTTGGGGATCTTCCTGTTTTTTTCTCTGACCCTGTATTTTAACACATTGTGAGAAACATTGTCTATACTGACAAACGCTCAGGAAATCCAATCTGTACTCATTTTAGCCAGAGTGAGGTTATCTTTATTTGATTTTGCAAAATCAGGCGCCCAACTCAGCAGACACGGGGAGACTCACCACGTGGCTTGCCAGAAACGGTTTTAATTCTTGCCTCCAAAAAGCCCCTCTTTTTCCAGTTCCTCATATACAGTTCTAAGGCACGTCCCATTTTCCCTCCCCCCATTGAAGCCAAAGTGCCTTGCTCAAGGTCTTCATGGCTGTATTCATATTTAAATGCCCTAGTCTAGAGCAGCCAGCTAGTTTCAACCATCTGTCGGCTAGGCCTAGCCATCTCTTGAATTCCTAAAGATGGACCACGCCCTCAAGAGTTATACAAGATATCCTCCTTCAGAGGCTGGTCCCTCCTGATAACATGTCCAAGGTTGTGGGGCGAAGTCTGGCCATCTTTGGTTCCAAGGAGCATTCTGTATTTCTTCCAGGACAGACTTGTTCGTTTTTCTGCCAGTCCACGGTATAGCCAGTATTCTTCAACACCAACAAGGAGAAACAACACCCACAATTCCGAAAAGGAGGGTGAGAACGGTTGGATAACTTGAAATGCCATCAATCTCACTGAATTGTACATGGAGACATGATTGAATCGGTGTTGTGTATATTCTCAAGAATTTAAAAAGAAATGTTTAAATAGGGACGGATCCAGCAAGCCGAGGCACACACGGGGGCGGGGAGGAGGCTCTGTACAGGTGACGTACAGGTCCACTTGCTCCGTCCACGGTGCAAGCAGCCGGGACAGAAGTCCGGGCATGGGGCAGGCCACTGCACGCACCAAACCTACTAGCTACGGCCGCGCCTGCACGGAGGGCGGGCTGCAGGACAGAGCCCAAAGGCCGCGGCGCGCAGACTCCGCAACAAACTCAGCGGTCCCGGACTTCCTCCTAGCTCCGCCCCCTCCGTCTCTCGCCAATCAACGAGGTCCTTGAGGGCAGCCGCCCCGCCCGGCGGCTCACGTCGCTGTTTGCATGTTTGGTTCCCAATAAAGTTCTTCGGGACTTTGAATCTTTTTTTTAAAGCGCCCGCTCCGACGCGCCGCCGCCAGCGAGGGCAGACCAGTCTCCGCCCCGCCCCTTCCGGTCCCGCCGCCCCGGAGCCGGCTCCGCTGTGAGGGACCGAATTCCCTGCTCGCCGCCGCGCCGTGCGGGCCGGGCATGGTGTTGGGCCCCGGACCGCCTCGCCGGTCTCGGGGTGCCCAGGTAAGGCCACGGCTCCCCAGGGAGGGCGCGGGGTGGACGGGGCTGCGAGGCCCGGGCGGATGGAGGCCCGGGCGGGCGGCTGCGGGCCGCAGGCTGTTTCGGGCCGGGGGCGCCGGCTCAGTCCCCCGGGAGGATCGGAGGCTGTGCCCAAGGTCACGGCTCCCTAGTTGGCGGGCTGTTGGGGTCGCGTTTGTCAAGGCCAGCTCCCCTGCGTGGGGCGAATGCACGGTCATTTGGGGCGCGCCCACCATTGGACTAGTGCGGGAATGTACCCCCGGAAAAGGTCAGTGCTGCTCTCTGGTCCTGGCTGTGTTGCTGTGGACCCCTGGGCGTGGCCTTCCTCTTCTGGGCCTCAGTTGCCCTACTTGTCACCTGCCCAGGTGTACCTGTACCCCTCTATGCATTGCCCCCAGCGCGCGGGCGGGGTCGGGACGGCTGGAAGAGGCGGGGATCCGGGTAGAGACCTGGGGGATGAGGGCATTGCAGGCCTGGGTGGCCGGCGGAACAGAACCTCCCGGAAATCAGCAAGGTGGTGTTGGGGAACCGGAGGAGGCTGGCCTGCGGGGAATAGAGGATTCTTGGCGTGGGGAAGGGGGACCTGCACACATAGGTGGGGGAGCAGAGAAATCCCCCGGCTTAGACGGTGCGGGGCGTCATGGTCCCTGCCTGGGCTTACGTCATTCAGGTAGTGGATGCTGCAGGAGGGGGAAGCAGGTTTATGACTGGAGGTTCCTGTGTCCCGGCTTCGGAAGGAGGCTGGGGGACCCTTCATAATCCTATTCTGGGCACCTTGGGCTGCGCGGGTCTCGAGTTCTCGGCTTCCTTCTCTTTCACCCTGGCATGGGGATTTCTCAAGGGCAGAAGGTATTATGAAGGAACCGTTCTGCTCACCTCCAGCCGCCGGGCTCCTGGCGTCCGGTACAGGTGGCGTGGCCTGATTGTAGCGAAACAGACTTACGAGGAGCAGATGTTAGTTGATGATGAGATGAACTGGCACTCAGAATCCTTGTCTTTGAGCAGTCTGAAAGCAAATCTCACCCAGAGGAGGAACTTCACCCTTAAATGGCAACCTGGAGAATTGAGAGCCCTCGGCACACTATTCAAAATAGCTCCTGTGTGGCTGAAAACAGCCACTGACAGGCTGTAATTTACAGTAAAGGGCAAGCTAAATATTAACCCAACTCCTCAAGGTTCAAGGCCGAATGAGGTAGGAAAAGGGATTCTGAAACATCTGCAGTAGTATTCCACTGACCTCTTGACAGTGTGAGTACTTATTTTTTGTTCACATCCCTTGGTATAGATTTTATTTAGCAGCTATGGCAACATTGCCAATTTAGACCTTGGACTTATCTGTGAAGTGGAGTGTGAAAATAATGGAGAAGAGATAGCCACTATATACTCGATTTCTTACACATCCATTATCTCGATGGGAGAGAAAACACCAGTTTAGTCCCTTTTCTCATTTGCTGTGTCAGGGTTTTATTAAAAAGCCAAGTACTGTTGAAGATAAGTCTGGAATCTGACTTCCTGGGGTGAGGTGTGGGGCGTTGTTTGCAGAGAATCCTGTGGAATGCTACCAAACACCCGAGGCCACCCAGTTCTGACTCAGAGCAACCCTGGAGGACAGAGTTGAACAGCTCCAGAGGGCCTCCCAGGCTGTCATCTCTGTGGAAGGAAGCAGCCGGTCACAGCTATCTCCTGGAGAGCAGCTAGTGGGTCTGAAGCACCAAGCTTTAGGGTAACAGTCAAATGCTTACCCACTGCATTACCAGGGCTCCTTTGTGGAGCAGGGTTGATACGTGTCTTCACCTTGATTCCAACTCCGCGATCCTTTATAGGGTTCTGAGGAGTGGCTGGTGGGTTTGAACCACCAACCTGGTGGTTAGTGGCTCAGTGCTACAGCGCCGTGTCAGGGCTCCATTGTGGGATGGTTGTTATTGTTGTTAAAGTGCTGTTGAGTCAGTTCTGACGCGTAGCATCCCTGTATGGGCTTTCCAAGGAGCAACTGGAGAGTTTGAACTGCCTACCTTGTGGTTCGCAGTCCGGTGCTGGTCCTACAGCACCACACCAGGAGTCGGTGGTGGTTGTTATTAAGTGTGGTTGAGTAGGTTCCGACCCAAAGCGACCCTGTATTGGGTTTCCAGGGAGCGGCTAGTAAGTTTGAACCGACGATCTTGCGGTTCAAACCTACCTTGCATTCCATCCAGCGCGTTAACCCTAACACCACAACAGGACTCCTCCAAGAGTTGGTTGTTGTTGTTGTTCAGTGCCGTAGAGCCGGTTCCAGCCCATAGCATAGGATTTCCAAGGAGCGACTGGTAAGCTTGAACTCACCTTGTGGTTCAAGCTGACTTTGCAGCCCAGAGCATTAACTCACAGCACCACACCAAGATTCAGGATGGTTGTTTTTGTGAAGTGTCGTCGAGTCAGTTCCGACCCATAGTGACCCTGTATAGGGTTTCTGAGGAGCAGCTTGTGAGCTTGAACTGCCGACCTTGTAGTTCAAACGGCTTTGCAGTCTGGCGCGTAACCCACAGCCCCACCCCAGGGGTTGGAGGAGGACGTAAAACAGAACTCAGAATAGTCTCCAGACTGCAGTGCCCCAGAACAGTCTAGATCTGGAGTGGGGAACCTTTTTTCAGCAAAAATTTATAACATCATTCA